CACACACACACACACACACACACACACACACACACACACACACACACTTGCAAGGGTGATGACACACTGACCCCAGAAACCAGAAGACAGCGTGGCTGGCAGAAACACGCATCTAGAAGTGAGTGTTCTTGCTCAACTCTCTGCTCCTCCCACGGAAGGTCCATTTCTTTCCCTACAGCACTTCACTGAAATCAAACCATACACAGAGAGCACTTAGCTTACAGCAAGCCTACCTTCAGAATGAATACTGAAACTACATGCAAAGCACACTCATGAGGACAGAAAGAGGTCCCATGTGACAGAGCAAGGCCATCTCAAGAAAGCACTCACCTGGAAGTCTTGGTCGTCGATCCCAAACCTCTCCCGAAGATTCCGGAAGACCATCGGGCAGTACTCCTTGAATTTGAAATGACTCGGCATATTCTCCCTGCAATGGGCACACTGCAGAATGAGGCTCAGACAGGCTTGGGGTTGGCGGGCTTCCCTGTGCCCCACCTGGATCCATGTGCAACAGCGAAGCATTCACTGCCCACAGCAAGCATGGCTGACTCCACAGAACCCGGTACCACCCAACCATATCTGACGAACAGAGAAGGCAGATTAAAAATGCTGTCAGTCTCACAGGGAACTGTGTTACCCCTTAATCCTGGCCTCACACACCAGCCATTCTCTAAGAGCAGGGGCAGGGAGGGAAGACAGAAGCACAGAGTGGAAAGTGGAGAAAATGGCAGTAAGGAAGGGCAAGCAAGAGCAATCTCACTGCGGAAGCAGCTGTCGGACAAGGCTTGACCCACTCCCAGGACACACTTCCTCACTGTTAGGGCCAAAGGAAACTCAGTCCAAATGGCTAACTGTGGTGCCATTTTGGTGCACACCAAAGACCATGCTGGCCCCCAGGCTCACTCAGTAGGAGTAGCTCCTCTCAGCTCTTCTTACCCCAACCCCTACTCTAACCGTCGACAGCTCGTGGACTTCCCTCCCCCCAGCCTCCAGATAATCCTGCCATTTTGGCCATGCGCTCACTTGGCTCCCTCATTCTTGCTTCTTTCTTGGACCTCTTTTTTGTCCAAACCTCTCTTTTGGTGCTGTCTTTGTTTGTCTCACTCTTCCTCTCTCCCTCTCCTCCCTCTCACGGCCCAGTCCGGCTGCTGACCATGTTCAGTGTACCAGTTTCTCCCTGCTCTAGACTCTTCCCTATATCTCTGGCTGTTCTCTCCCCCACATCTACAATGAAAACCTTCCTCTCATGACCTCTGAGTGGTCACGCCCTCACTGTATACATTCACAAAGTCAACCTCTGGGAACTCACAAGTTCACATCAGAACACAGTACATGGAGGGCTGGGGTGTAGCTCAGTGGTAGAGCACTAGCCTACCATGCATGAGTCCCTCGGTTCGACACCTAGTACTACAACTGAGAGAAAAGGAGGACAGAAATCCCACACTCATCTCGATATGGGTGGTTACACCAAGGCTCTCCCAGTCACACTGTATCGCCCTCGTTTGTGCTCCCAGAGGATGGTGAATTCAAATTGTGTACAGCCCTCTGTTATTATGCTTTGTACAGGAATGACAGCGATTTTTGTGTGTCAGTTTCCAGCTACCGTCCTGGCTGTGAGCCCTTTGAAGGAAGGGCCGTAGTACTGTATCTCCAGCTTTTGGACGAACTGATTACTATGTAACTTGCTTTCTATAATAACATCAAAGGTACCCACTCACGTGAAGAACATCAACAACCAAACATGGTGTCCAGTTATATTTTATGATAATACATCTTAATTATTTATTATTTTACAGTGTAGTTATTTCTATTCATAAAGCCACTGTATTTTAAAGTTTTGTATACAAGAGCAGAAATCCGTAACTGCTCCAACAATCCAAGTAATTTACATCTCTGAAAACTTAAATAGCAATGAGGATATGGCAAAGGGCTATTATCCCAGAGGGCCTACTGCTGCTTCTCCGAATATGACAGATGGCTGTGTTTATCACAGGATTAACTTCATCAGCAAAACTTTCCTCCCACCCTTTGAAAAATAATGTGTGATAACAGAAAGTCACAAACTGTCCTATCTGCCTAGCCAGGGGAGTCTTGGGGAGGTTGCACCGGCACTTACTTGTTAAAGAGGTGGTTATCCACCTTTATCTTTGAGTAGGCTTTGAAGTCATCAGGCATCAACATGACAGGGATTTGAACATGGCTCAGTTCATTGATCTGGGAAAATACAAAATAAAAAGAGCTGGTTATTACCATCCTGGTAAGGACAGCCTGACTTCAACACATACTTGCAAAAGAACCTGGTGACCATGGGAATTCTGCCTACCCTCCGCCTCCCACCCTGAGCCCTTCCCTCCTGTCATTCTCACTCTCTCATTAGTCTTCACTCCTTGCAGCTCCCACCCAGCCTCTTCTCTCCCACCCTGGGCCTGGGTGGCACAGGAAGAATGAGGCGGCGGGGGTGGGGGTGTACGCAGTGGTAGCCGAGAAAGAGGAATTTTACGTTTGTGAGGTAAGTATTGATTGAATTAACTGGCACAACTGATATTTTGGAGCACCCAAAGGACGTCACTGATAGCAACATGGTCTTCCTTTCTCACGGGGTGGAGAGGACACATACATGTCACTGATAGCAACGTGGTCTTCCTTCCCCCCAGGGTGGAGAGGACACATACATCATACATGTCAGGGAGGGGCTTGACCCTCACTCGGGAAGGAAAAAGCTTCATGGCATTACACCGGAGAGCAAAAGCAGAGTCACTTGGGACCCTGAAGAGGAAGATGGCAAGTTTGAGGCCAGCCTGGGCTACCCAGTGGCGCTATCTCAAGAAAAGAACAAAAAGCAAAGGCGTGGCTCCAAAGGATGGAGCACAGAATCCAGTTTCCTTTACCCCGCAGGAAGTGACATGGTGCATCTGACATATGACTGTGAAAAACCCGGCTTTTTGTCTTGGTTATTTTTGTGCTTGATCTCCATGCTATTTTCCTCTCTTGCTGATAATCAATAAAAAGCCACTTTAAATATTTGTACTTCCTGTAGAATGGTAGGTACTCTGAAGAGCTCTTGGTTCCAAAAAGCAAAAACAAAGCCCCAAGCACACAAGCAGGAGGTTTCTTGCTCAGGTGAGGGTTCTCATGTCTTACTGCATTCTTAGAAGGTGAACATGATTCCAGGACACTGTCCTCCTGCAGGGTGGCCTGGAGGCTGGTGCTGGTTCCAACACTTCCTCAGGCAAAGGTAAGGGCAGTTGGTAGCTCATGGGCTTAAACAGAAAAGGGCCCTGGAAGTGTCAATGCAAAAGGAAGAAAGTGAGGTTTGAAGAACTGGGGCTTGGCTTTGTAGTGGGGAATTAGCGCCCATCTGCACTGTGTCAGAGGAAATGACCGGGTATGCGCTGGCAGAATCTGGCTCAGGGAGCGGGCATAGGGACGGACGGATGGCTACAGCCCTTCAGGTCTGAGATTCTTGTTGACTAAGCACAGCAGATAGAGGAGCAAGGAAAATGCAGGACCGCTCAGAAGGGAGATACCAGTGTCACAGAATCCCTCCATAGGAAGTTGTACCAGTGATGATAGGCAAGACACTTGAACCCAAGACTCAAGGCCAAGGCAGCTAAAAGAGATGCTTGAGTCTAGACAGTGAGTGTTCTGGGAACCCAGCATAGTGGCGTAAACGGCTCTGGAGGGGAGTGGAGGGAGGGACAGTGAGCTGGGAGTTGTTTACTTAGGAATGCGGTGGGTTGGTGTGAAGTGTATACTTGCTAGTGCAGGGGTGTGGGTGTGACAGAGGCCCAAGGTTGACATTGTCTTCCTCAGGCAGCCTCCCCCCCCCCCCCCCCCCCCCCCCCCCCCGCTTTTGTTTGTTTTGAGCTAGGGCGTCTCACTGAGCAGGAGGATCACCCATCTGGGTAGGCTGGCTGCAGTGAACTCGAGGACCTGCCTGAATCCACACCTCCACTGCTGGGGTGCAGGAACACACACCATCCCTGACTGTTTTTCACATGGGTGCTGGGGATCCTAGGGGTCCAAACTCAGGTCCTGGTGCTTGTTACGGACCAAGCCATCTCCCTGTCTCTCTCTCTCCTTTTATAACTGAGGAACAGGTTGGTACGAAGTTAAATTAGATATTCTTGGGCCACTTTATCTTTCTTCTACATTGTCTTTCATTTTGAGTAGCTTTGTTTTTCCTTTCTCCCTTCTCCGTCGAGTTATTCTTTCATGGGTCAAGTGAGTTAGCCACCCATGAACAGAGTGAACCCCAGATCTGCCCCTCAGGAGCAGCTTCTAATTAGTAACCAATGTTTTCCAGGCGTCTCTTGAGCCTCTATTTTTTTTTCTTTTCTTTTTTCTTTTCTTTCTTTCTTTTTTTTTTTTTTCTGTAGGAATGTTCCATTTTGGTGCATAAGAAGGTCAGCATTTATTCATCAGCTTTGCTGAAATGACTTAACTTCAGCGTTGCTCGGGAATCCAAAGCTCATTCAACTTTCTGGGTGGCTTTACGCCCTCTAGCCTGTGACCTGCTATACACGCGCTGAAGGGTGCGCTTGCTTCTAGTCCAAACTCACAGTGCATTACAGGCACTGATGACAAGTCACCATCTCAGACGAGGTGAAACCAATCCTCTGCCATGCCTGTGGGGCTCCTAGCTTTGTGCTTGTAGATTTCTGACAGTGGGTTTTGAAGCTTTAAAATTTTAATTTCTTGCTGGGTCTGTGACGCATGCCTGTAATCCTAGCGTTTGGGAGGCAGAGGCAGGTGGAATGCTGTGAGTTCTAGGCCAGCCTGGTCTACAAAGCAAGTCCAGGCTACACAGAGAAGTCCTATCTTAAAAAAAAAAAAATTAACTTCTTGATTTAGCATTTTACTAAAGTCCAGTCATTCCACGTGTCACACTCCAAAACAGGAAACAAAACTGACAGTGGTTAGTTTCTCTTCCTCTTCTATTGCTGTTGTTGTTGTTGTTGTTATTATTATTATTATTATTATTATTATTATTATTTTGGATCTAGGATGGAACTCATTATTATTATTATTATTATTATTTTGGATCTAGGATGGAACTCATGGCCCTGTGACTATCATGCAAGTGCTCTACCACTGAATTACACACTCAGCCCTTATCAGTATTTAAGAAAGAATTTGCCCCCATCCCTTAGGAATAAGCATATGTTATAAAATCCTAGTGGCTTTTCATTTGTGGAGTTAAGAGGAGCCAAACAGACTGAAGGTACTGGCTCCGTCATTCAGGGGACATTCTATAGGGTTGCAAATGTCTAACCAACAAGAGAAGGGCAGTAACTCTTCCACACTCAATGGTCCCACCACTCCGGTAAAGCCACTTTTGCTCTGCGTGCATAGACAGCCATACTCACACCTTACACCCTCAGAATCTCTAAGTGTTCTGGACATGTGTCCATGCAGAGGCCCCTGGCTGGGTCTCCCGCACCCTGTGGGAGACCTCGCGGCTCTGTTTACGCTGTGCCAGTCACCCCCTAAAACACAGGTGCTGCTTAGCACAGTGTCTGCCGAGCCACTGGGTACAGAGGCTGACAGTGCCCAGGCACATACCACATGAAATAAAGGAGCTCTGTTGTCAACACCAATAGAAGCAAGGCTATGGGGGGGGGGGGGGAGAGGTTGTTGGTACAAAGGTTTGTTAGTGCCAAATGTCCCAATGACCTGACTGCATTAAAATTCGAGGGTTGGAGGTAGGGGGAAGGGAAACTGGTATAGTTTGATGATGGAAGAAGGGAACAAGGAGGTATGTTGTCTCAGCTCAGCTTTGTCTGAACTCACTCTAATACTTGGTGTTAACGTCACCGCTAATACATACTGAACACTTGCCAAATGCCACGGCGTCTTACTAGACATTTGTAGCCCACTGGTGTGGGCTATCACTCATTACTCCCATTTCCCAGACAGGGAGATCCGTTCTTAGTGGCATCAGCTACTCGCTATTGACTGGTCAAGCTGGATCTGGAATCCAGCCCTCGCAGTCAAGACAATCAGGGCAACTCAGGATCTTCTTACATTCCTGCCAGCCTAGAGGGTTCACAGCAAGGAGCCATGAAAAGCCCATCTAAAATGCATGCCTATGTTGGGTTAAAAACATCTAAAGAGTTTCTTCTTTTAAAAAATAGCACATCAATAGTCAAGGCATGCTCAATTGAGTACGTACTGCAGCCTATGGCCAGCCCAGCTCTGGCTTCACCCCACGGTCTGAACCAGCGTCCATCACTCAGCTGCCACCATTGCTGACACTGCTTGTCACTCAGTCTGCACTCAAGTGTGAAGGGATCATAGCTATCACCAGGGACGCAACATGGATCTCCACAGCAGTTATTTATTGCAGACAGTTGTTTGAATGTCCCTGTAACTCAGGGACAAGCCGCGGTTAAAACAAGTTGGTGGACTTTTTCTTCTCCTAACAGAGATCACTACTTAGAAAAGGTGTCTTGACTTCTCTCCTCAGCAAAACGTTACAGTTTCTATCATGTGCAAGTTAGGTACAACACTATAAGACCGAAGTTTGCTACTGTCTCTCAGTGGGATGACTGACGGGAGTACCGTTCCTGTATATAAATTCACACTCCACGCACGCAATTAAGCTGCAAAAATTGGGACCAACGAACAGATTCTGGACAGGAAATAAACCAAAATCAGGGCACACATAAAGGTGTCCTCACAAAGCTGTTTCACACTGAGGCATTAATAAAAATGTACACATGACATGTGCTTTTTAACTAAAGCAAGGATATGTTCATAAACTGTAAGGCATTATTTATGACTACTAATTTGGATACATTCACTCTAAACACCATGTTTTCAGACTAATAGTTAATCAGCAAGTTTTTGGCTTTTTTATGTTTTGGTTTTTGTTTTCTTGTTTTTAGACTGGGTCTCACTATGTAACCCCCGACGACCTAGAACTCGCTACCTTACCATGCTGTTCTTGAACTCGCAGACCTACTGCCCTCCGGGATTAAAGGGATGCAGCACCTCACCTGTCTAGCAAATGGTTTTAATTCAACCAAGGGGAGGGGGGGTACCAAAACCACAAAATTCCTCACATGTGAAGGAGACACTGGGACATTTGATTGGATTTTAGTGAAGACACCTCCAGAAATCAGGATCCACTGAGTTAAAGCCGCACCCTGGTGTAAGCCTACACGGTAAGAGCCTCTCGGGGCCCAGATGTTGGGGGCAGTCAAGTCTAC